ATTTGGAAAGCTCTTTCTCTTAGTAGGACTTTGAACATGACAGTGCTCCTTTTCTTTAGTGTCTCCGACGCAGACTGTTAAATCTGATTTTGGGAACACAGAGCACGTATCTGTGTGTTCTGGTGAAGCCTGATTAGTTGTGTCACTTTAGAGAGAAGGAATTTCTAGGAACTGGTTTTATCAGGATTCCACTGGCAACAGCTCCTTACAGATCATATTGTCAATGCAGCAGACACAGCTGCTATGAACAGATACAGCAGCGAGCAAGATCAGCCCGGCTATTTGGCCTCAGTAAATTTGTAACACCCTGACTTCACAACTCACTGCAGCACCACAGCATATGCCAAAAGACACACTGCCCACACATGGATACTCGCATGAATACGTGAAAAAACCCTTCCTGGTTTAACTGAAGATGGCCATAGAAAAGCAATAAGCATCTTTAGCAGAAGGGATGTGACATGCAACATAACCTAAACGTATACTCAGTGCCATCCTCAATGCATGTCCAAATACATCCAAACTTGCTCCTCAAACTGTTTTCAGGCTACACTTGTTCTATCCTCTAGATWTTCATGTAGTGCACACTTAATTTAAACATTATATATATATTTCTTTATTTATTTGCTGTGCATACACAGACGTTTCTCCCTTTTCCCTGCAGAAACATATTAGACATTACAAAAATAATTTGTGGTATAAAAGAATTCTCACACAATGTAGAATTTTTGTTTGTATATGTAACTAAAATATATATATATTTTTCCAAAAGTAAAAAAGTCAAAATGTCCTTATTTTCCTCTATTATATAGTCTATTTTATTTACAATGTTACCAAACAATATCCTGTATGTAAAAGTGWTAAAAGGTTGTGGGACACTTCCTGCTTAGCAACTTCCCAAGCGGAGTGTGGCTTGAAGAGGACTGCAAAAACAGCACTGTCACACCTTATCAACCAGCACCTTCCTCTGCAATATGAGTTCCTTCCATACTAAGTGAAACCAGACCTTTTCCCTGCAAAACAGGGCAAGGTCTGACAGTCTGCCTAGAAAGTAGTACAAGAGGAATAAAACGTGCRCTCTCCGGTTTCAGTGCTGTGACGTTAAGGGGGATCAGGATTCCTAATAGCCAGGCCTGACCTAGCCAGCCTGGAAATACCTGCTTCCACTGATACCACTGACTTCAAGTGGGAACACCAGGGAATCAGGAGACCCAAGGAAAACGCAGTGGAGTTACTGAGGGCACTCATAGACCTTCTCTTCGAAACAAAGACCTCAACACTTCCATAGGTGAAACTATCTAATACTGGATATTCTCTAAGAGAATTTCAACTGAAGAATTTCAGCAGAATAAAAAGTGGGTTTCTTAAGTCTTAAATAGAGATTTCTTAACAATCAGGACCAGYTAAAAACCCAAATCCTAATGAGTAAGCCTGGTACTATGTAAGTGATCGTTAGGCTGGTTTATAGCCATATGCACATCTGTTTTAATATAAGCAACATACAATTTCCAGCCTTGCTGTACTAATGCAATTTCATCAGCAAGTTACAGCTGTATCATCTCAAAAAACACCTGTTTTAGTTCCTGTGGCATTTCCAGTTTAAAAATGTGCATTCAAACTTTTTCCACCTCAGAACCCAGCCCAGCCAGGTGCAATAAATTCCTAAAAGGGATTTACAMCAGAGACATGGGCAATCCTGGCTCTTAAAGTCAAGGAGAATTTTAACTCAGGATATTCAGTGTTAATATTTACCTGAGAACTTCTATATGAGAGAGGGAAGTCACCAATAAAATTCTKTTGTCTAATTTTTCAAAGAGCTGCTTCCTCTGAGTCTGAATGGGAAGTGAAAATTAGTGCTTGGGAAGTAACATAAAGAGGTGTTGTCACCATCATAGTCAAGGGAGTGTTAAGTGCAAAAGAGCTGCAGTTGCTTATGACAGTTACACCTATGGATGTGCCCAATTCCTGACCTGGAAAAAGCCTCTGCTGTACCAAACAGAACCAAAACCATGTTGTCAATGAGAGTTCAAATGCTGGATTAGAGGTGAGGGAACTACTTGCTTGACAGCTCAACTTTTGAAAGATGAAGAAGTTAATCAGAGCTTGTCTTTGTTAATAAAATAAATAAACATCAGTTTAAAAACCAGCTTTAGCCAAATTGGTACAAATTTGGAAATAAGCAAAAGTTCAGGATTTCCTTCTCTGCTGCAATAACAAGACACACGTACCCACATACATATAAAACTTGTTACTCAGCACACACCCGATTTGGAAATTCTTTTTCAGATCAGTTTCTGAATCCTGCTGACAAGATGATCTATAAGGAACCATTACACCAGGAAGATGTAACACTTTACAATCAATGTTCAGTCAAGGTTTGTACAGTCGTGCAGTTCCCCGCAGTAAGATAAGCTACATGTGAGAATTTGTGTTGATGCTTTCTCAAAAGAGAAGATTTCAGACACTGTTTAATAGGCTATTAAAATCATATGGCACTTTCAATAAATACTTTAAAGCTTCTTAAAGAAATCAGGATAAAAAAGCAACTGCTGTAATAAGCCTGTTTTAGCTATAACACGTAATGCTGAAGGAAAAAATCCAGAAGAGCAAACAGATATTAACACTTAAAAGACAGTACAGCTTTTTTCTTTCTGCAGCAATGTGAACTGGCTCCCATTCCCAGGGAAAAGGGAGCAAGCCCACCTCGAAACAAGTATTCACTCAATCTTAACTGCTCTACGCTCCACCCCAACCCTTACATGACTTCACTTCTAAAACATAGTCACATTTTCATATAAATCTCAGTGCAGAAATGTCATAAACATGAAAAATACTGATCCTGCAAACATTTACAACCACACTTAACATTAAGTGAGTGCCTAATGTCATCACCAGAAGAGCTACCTACACCCTTAATGCTAAGCATAGGTATGTTGCAGCATCAGGCCCAAAGGTGCCAATGGCCACCGGGGACATTGGCTGGGTCAAAATGGTATCATTCTGTCTGGTTTTGCCAAGGTTTTCTCAACAGAAGCACATCAAGAAACAGAAACTTTCAAACCTACACACGGAAACACAGTTACATGTGTGTACATACTAATATGCAATATACATTCAGTAACTTGAAAGAATAGGTTAAGACTTTATTCAGATAGACAAATTAAGGCAATTCTCTTAATGTCTCTTCAAGATACAGGACTATGTCCTCATTTGTGACCTCTAGGTTTTAAAGCTATACTTTTCAAGAAATATATTTCAATGTTTTTTTATATTTTCTCCAATTAGCAGTTTCGTTTGCTTAATAAATTATATCTGTGCAAGCGTGCACACTGATAATTTGGCAGTGTTGAGAAGTCCAATTCGTTTATATATAATACAGACTTTTTACATTTCCATTACAGGGTGATTAGTTTARGACTGCATTTTGGCTTAACACAAAGAAAAATTTAGAATATCTGGCCATCCAATGGACATAACTTTGTCAGTCTAGCAAGACACAGAATTCATGTTATATTCAAAGTAAAAAAAAAA